TTTTTTTTTTCTTTCTCCTTGGGTTGCAGGAAATTTTTTTTCGAAATCTTCCCCCCCCCCCTCAAAAGTCAAATGGTCCGCCCCTTAGATTTCCTGATTGTCTAAATCTCTTCTTACAAACATCACATTCATAAGGTTTGTCTCCAGTGTGTGTTCTTTTATGTATTATCAAAGCATCTGATCTTTTAAATTTCTTCTTACAAACATCACGTTCATAAGGTTTGTCTCCAGTGTGTGTTCTTTTATGTATAGTTAAACTACTTGATTGTCTAAATCCCTTCTTGCAAACATCACATTCATAAGGTTTGTCCCCTGTGTGTGTTCTTTTGTGTTTAGTTAGATTTCCTGATTGTCTAAATCTCTTCTTACAAACATCACATTCATAAGGTTTGTCTCCAGTGTGTGTTCTTTTATGTATTATCAAAGCATCTGATCTTTTAAATTTCTTCTTACAAACATCACGTTCATAAGGTTTGTCTCCAGTGTGTGTTCTTTTATGTATAGTTAAACTACTTGATTGTCTAAATCCCTTCTTGCAAACATCACATTCATAAGGTTTGTCCCCTGTGTGTGTTCTTTTGTGTTTAGTTAGATTTCCTGATTGTCTAAATCTCTTCTTACAAACATCACATTCATAAGGTTTGTCTCCAGTGTGTGTTCTTTTATGTATTATCAAAGCATCTGATCTTTTAAATTTCTTCTTACAAACATCACGTTCATAAGGTTTGTCTCCAGTGTGTGTTCTTTTATGTATAGTTAAACTACTTGATTGTCTAAATCCCTTCTTGCAAACATCACATTCATAAGGTTTGTCCCCTGTGTGTGTTCTTTTGTGTTTAGTTAGATTTCCTGATTGTCTAAATCTCTTCTTACAAACATCACATTCATAAGGTTTGTCTCCAGTGTGTGTTCTTTTATGTATTATCAAAGCATCTGATCTTTTAAATTTCTTCTTACAAACATCACATTCATAAGGCCTGTCTCCAGTGTGCGTTCGTTTATGTATTGCTAAATTACCTGAATGTCTAAATTTCTTCTTACAAACATCGCATTCATAAGGTTTGTCTCCAGTGTGTGTTCGTTTATGCACAGCTAAATGACCTGATTCCCTAAATTTCTTCTTACAAACATCACATTCATAAGGTTTGTCTTCAGAGTGTGTAGTCTTGTGCCTCACTAAAATGCTTGATTGTGCAAATCTCTTCTTACAAATATCACATTCATATGGCGTCTCGCGAGTGTGCGTTCTTTTATGTAGCACCAAACGTCTGGATTGTCTAAATCTTTTCTTGCACACATCGCATTCATAAGGATTGTCTCCAGTGTGTGTTCTTTCTTGTGTTGCCGTGCTGCCTGATCTTAAAAATTTACAATCATGATCCACCATGATTCGCTAATTTTATGAATTTCACGCAAATAAACTGGTGATCGACTTCAGATTTACAATCGTTTAGATGATTAATTTTTACTTCTCTCTCCACAAAAGCGTCAATAGCCTTGTATCTTCTTATTAAAACAAAATGAAACTATAAATTTGGAGAAACGTTTACGTCGTATTGTCGTTTTCAAAATTGGAATGTTTTGATTTGTGCAAATATTCAGCAAATTGTGCGCTAGCCGATACAGAAATGACAAGGGCTGGTGAAACAAGGCGGCGTGCGGGCGAAAGGTTCCACATTCCGTCAGAGAGTATTGTTTCTCGTAGTTGGAAAAGAAAAACTGTGTTTTTCTTGTAAATTCTCAGAAAACAGACTAATATCAAGCAAATTAAAATATAAAAAAATTTTGTAATATTTTTTAGATCTGGAATAGGTGCTTGCAGCGCGCTTGTAGTTACGACTTGCGGACTTACGGGCGATGCAAAATTTTATATTTTATACGGGGCCGGAGCAGGCTTTTGGCCAGAAGGGCGTCCAGGAATCCCGGGACGCCCCTAGAACAAAACATGGACGCCTTTGGACGCCCAAATTCTGGGGGGAAAGGGAAATTATTTTCAATTATTTCCCTAACGACCTAAGTATATTAATATATCTGGAACGAAACTTCAATTCTCATTATTATTATACATTTGACATTTTGATCAATTTGATGGTACCGTACCTGACTGAATGAAAATGTCGTAGTTAAGTAAAGAAGCATGGCGGCATAATTCAGAACTCACGTACAAAGCCAAGTGGAAAATTTTGAACGGCCTTGGAACAGATACTGATATGAAGTAACATAAAGTTCAAAGGTTTTCCAGAGGAACGTTTTCTCGACCCCCCCCTCTCTTTACTGTAGATGTATCGTTGTACCAAAATTGTACGTCCTCTTTTAGGACCCTGGCTAAAAGCCTGTGCCGGAGCAAAAGGGCACGGGCACATACTTTTTTGAGCTGCTTAGAAGTGGGGCACACAGATTTTCTCTGCTTTGAACTGCATAGAAGCGGGTCACAAAGATGTTTGGAGAAGCCAAATAACTACAATTAGTGAGAGGCCAGGGCGCGGTTTATTCTCTTCAGAAGGAGAAGTTCCATCGTCGATGGAGAAGTTCAGGCGCGCAGGAGTCGCAGTATAACTACAAGTGAGAGGCCAGGGCGCGGTTTATTCTATTCAGAAGAAGTTCCATCCTAGATGGAGAAGTTCAGGCCCGCAGGGGTCGCAGCGTCAGACCTCCCGCACATTTCAGCGATTTCCTCTAGGCTCTAGCTGAACATGGTCAGCAACTCTACGGTATAAAGCACAATTGCAAAAGCTTTCTTTACTGACAGTAGTGCGGGGCAGCAACTTCAATTTTTTTAGCAAAGTTCCGACCGGGGTTCGAAAATTTTATCACGTACCAATCTAATAACTGACTTGGACGTAAGTTTTGACATGATTCTGTGTAGAATATTTTAGACTACTCTTTTTAACATTTTAATTATGCCACTTTATTTTCTTGTTATTACATCCAATTATAATTGAGTGAATTATATCAATATCAATTCGAATCAAGTATCTGTTCTCAATTCTTCAACACAACAAACGACAACACCAAACGCCTGAAATAAATATTAAAACTAACTAAAACAATATATCTGCCCTGGCTAAAAGCCTTGTCAATAAAATTTATAGGCAAGAAGCCTAATTTCCCCTCTATGGGGCTGGTTATATCAAACCCGTTTAGCTTAAACGGTGGATAAGTCAAAATTAAATAACACTCTTATATCTCTTGTGAATCTGTTAACTTAAATATTTATTCTGCACTGAATACGTAGTTGTAAAAAATATCGTTCTATTAAGGTTCAATACTTTTAGTTTGGTTGTTGAATGAATCTATAGACTTGCTATCTATTTTGAGCTTAACCACCGTTTAAGCTAAGCAGGCTTGATACAACCAGCCCCAGACATTTAACACCAGGAACATAAAATAATCTCTGCCTATGTAGTGATCTACCATAGCTCACATACCAGTAAAATAATAGGTATGAGAAATATAAATAACTAGTCTGATACAAATGCCAATGTATATTTCATATAAAACTAAACTGGAATCTGAATGTCCTATATATGCATCAACTCATTGTATACTCAAAGAGTTTGTCAGTTAAACCAGTTAAGTCCGAGTCAAATCCGAGCCCGAGTCAACTTAGTACCCTAACCACACTCCTTTATAAACCCTACCTCTAACCCTATTTGATTATGAATTTTATTCAATTTCGAAGTTTGTCGGTTAACCGAGTTAAATCTGAGCCCAGTCAATTATGTCTGAGTCACTGTTAAGCGGTCTTTGTAGTTCAATGAATTAGTACCCTAATCTTATTCCTTAAACCCTATTTGATTATGAATTTTTTCAATTTTGTCTTTTTTTAACATGACTCAGACGTTTGACTCGGGCTCTGAATTGACTCGGATTTGACTTGGTAAATAGATTTACTCTATACTCAAAGCCGGCAACAATATTCAGATTGATCAGTCATGGGTGACCATGTGATCTTCAAGGTCTCTGGGAACATCAAACACAACATCGCACACACAACAAACATATCCAATACCAGTTGGTTCTGTCGATTCCAGTTCTTGACATAAAGCACATTGATAGTTTCCAGCATTACCATGTTGCCTTGCCAAATGTTGAACCAATATCATGAAACCAGACAATTGTCTATTACATTTGTTACAAACATACTTTCCAGTGTTTCTATCCTCAACAAAATGTTCTTGTAATTCTTGCGGTCGGATAATCTCTCTGCCGCAAGTGTGACACAACAAATGCCCCTTCTTGTGGTAATTAAGACTACTTGATTGGGAAAATTGTTTCTCGCAAAAATCACATTCATAAGGCCTGTCCCCTCTGTGTGTTCTTTTGTGTTTAGTTAGATGTCCTGATTGTCTAAATTTCTTCTTACAAACATTACATTCATAAGGTTTGTCTTCAGAGTGTGTAGTCTTGTGCCTCACTAAAATGCTTGATTGTGCAAATCTCCTCTTACAAATATCACATTCATATGGCGTTTCGCGAGTGTGCGTTCTTTTATGTAGCACCAAACGTCTGGATTGTCGAAATCTTTTCTTGCACACATCGCATTCATAAGGATTGTCTCCAGTGTGTGTTCTTTCTTGTCTTGCCGAGCTGCCTGATCTTATAAATTTACAACCATGATCCGCCATGATTCGCTAATTTTATGAATTTCACGCAAATTAATAAACTGGTGATCGACTTCAGATCTACATTTTTTTACTTCTCTCTCCACAAAAGCGTCAGTAGCCTTGTATCTTCTTATTAAAACAAAATGAAACTATAAATTTGGAGAAACGTTTACGTCGTATTGTGTCTATTGTCGTTTTCAAAATTGGAATGTTTTGATCAAGGGAGCACGCCAGAAATATTTGTGTAAATTTATACTAGAGCTTTTAATTACATGTAAATGTTTTCAATTTTCATCGGCCGCCATTTTGAATGTTGAAAGCGGTATTAGCTTATCGCAGGCGCAATAATTTATGTTATCTTTGACATTAATTTCTGTTACACGATGATACTCCGAAGGGCGACCGAGAAAGATCCGAAATTTAAAATAAGGCCGGAGAAATAATAAAAAATAAAGAGGGGAGTGAAACGGCCGAACTATTACCGCCATTTGCAATTGAGCGTGCACCGTGCATTTTTTTCGAGTTGTTTTAGCATTGAAATTAACATGTAACTATGGGCGGAGTGACGTGTTACTAAGGCGGCTTATTAAATTTGACCCCCCGCCAAGACTCAGAAAAACACTTTAGTTTGATCACAGAAGAAATAAATTTGATGGTTTGTTTACAGTTTATTTGTGCGAAATAATACACACCTTCTACTTTTCGCTTTACCTGAAGGTGCCAGTGCAAAATATTTTTGCTTTGGAATTAGAAATATAAACTTTTTGTCACTTTAGTATCGACTATTATGTCGGTTAATAGTGGTGTCTACTGTATATTTAATGTTGTTGATTTCATGTTACTATTAAGTTTGGTCGCTTTAAAACCAATTTTGTTTGTCTACTAAGTGCCCATTAGCGTAAATATTCGACGTTCCAAATTATGTTTTGACTAACCAATTTATGTTCGCTGCTGGTACAATTCTATACAAAATGATAGTTTGTTTGTCTGACCCTGATTCTTCGAAAAACTTTCCGTGGTTCGGATCTTGGGCAAGCATGTAATCTATGAAGAATTGCGTATATAAAATGTTGTTTGTGAATCGTTCAGAAGCAATATGAGTTATTCGAATCGAATCGAATCGCACGGCTTATAGTAGATAAAGAAACATTTTGAGCCGCCTTAGTAACACGTCGCTCCGCCCATGGTTACATGTTAATTTCAATGCTAAAACAACTCGAAAAAAATGCACGGTGCACGCTCAATTGCAAATGGCGGTATCCACTGATGCTGGTTGACTGTTACTAGGAACATTTGATGTTGCTAGGAACAAACCGGAAACAAAATGAGACCTACTATTACGGCAACCACTGAGTATTTTAATATAATATACTGTAGAACAACAAATTATAATATAATATACTGTAGAAAATAATTTTTTTTTATTATTTTCGGATTTACCGTTGATTTATATTTGATCTACTATAATTAGTTCAAGGGAGTCACATTAGAATATATTATTAAAATTGGGGACAATGGCGAGAGTTTGTATATCAGATAAACATCGGCTGCTCGTATTTTAACGTGCTTAAAAGACGACCCATCATATGAGTTCATTGGCGAAGTAATTTTAAAATAAACATTGTTCAAGCCGAGAAAATCGAAGCTGAAGTTTATGTAAATGAGGACAATTTACAAATCTATTATCCGACGATTTACATACATTGATTAAACATTCATTTCTTTTGAATTTCCTTCATGAATTATTAATACTGTATTTTGTGTCCAGCATTCGCAAATGTATTTGTTTCTCTGCTGTCGAAAATTCACTGCTGGCACAGAGTAGAGACATACAGAGACGTAACTAGTGTACCCACTTTTTTTGCGCGCATGCTCGGCAAGTTACTAGATGCATGCATCTGATTGGATGACGACCTGATGACGACTCACTTTAAACTTGCTGAGCACGCGCAGTTGATCATTTTTCGCCCGGTCGCCTGAAAAAAAGTGGGTACATGATAACGTAATCTTCCGCAGTGTTTACAACGGTCAGTTACGTCTCTGTATGTCTTATCTACTCTGTGCTGCTGGCGAGCAACGATGCAAATCAATTCAAGTTTTGATATATTTCAGATTCGACAGTTGTTGGTCAACGAGCATGGCCAGATAACGAAATTGGATATACGCATTGTCATTGGCCAATACCCCATCACGTGTTCGGCCGTTTCACTCCCCTCTTTATTTTTTATTAGGGAGTGTTCATTATTTATACCCGGGGTTGGTACCGAAGAGAAATGGGTTGGGTAAGCCATTTTTCTGAGGTATGAAGGGTTGGGTAAATATTTTTTGTACAAAGCTTATGGTTGGGTAAATTATTTTCAATACAAACCTTCAATTGAATCGTTTATTTAACAAAATGGGTCATTCCAGGAAATATCCATTCATTCCCCACAAAGAAAACTAGACAACAACTCCCCATCCACTCGTAGTTCGTGTTTTATCACATATAAAACACTCCGCTACGCGTCGTGTTTTATATGTGATAAAACACTCCTACTCGTTTATTAAACAGTACATAGTACTGTTTATACTATAGTGGCCTAGCTTGTATAATAATATATATATATATGTAAAATACTTGTATAATTTTGAAATTGGGTTGGGTAAAATAAAAATCCAAGTCAAACAATAGTTGGGTACGGGAAAACATGGTTGATCGAAAGGGTGGGTGGTTGTTTTTTCTCTTTTCGATTAGTTTCTCTTCGGTACCAACCCCGGGTATAAATAATGAACACTCCCTTATTTCTCCGCCTTATTTTAAATTTCGGATCTTTCTCGGTCGCCCTTCGGAGTATCATCGTGTAACATAAATTAACGTCAAAGATAACATAAATTATTGCGCCTGCGATAAGCTAATACGAGGTATTATTTCAGACAAAATTTGTTCAAAAACCAACAAGCCAAACCAAGGCCTGGTTACTTAGCTAAGCAGTGCCATTCTTGAACAATTTTCAATATGGCGGATGGCAACAAAATGTCAACAAACAAACCAACCAGCCGGTCAAAAAATTTAAAGTTAAATTTGTCAGCGGAGGTAGATATGACCTTGCGAGTTTACCAAAAACTAAGAGTGGCACTCGAAGGAGCTCATTTCGTAGAAGTACAGTGCCTCAGCAATTAATAGAAGGAATAGAAGGTACGTTATCAAATATGAACGTACGACTACTATGAGTAGTTACTTAATACCACAGTTAATACGAAGTGGCTATAAGCCTATATCTACGTAAACAGACTTCGCCAGGTTATATTTACGACACTCCATGTACCGAACCGGCATTATAAAGCGTATTGTTTACAAAGGATTTCAGCGAGCTCGAAAATAGCTCAGAAGAGTATATATAAGAGTATTGAATCTAAATAATATAAGAGTATATTAATATAAGAGTATTGAATCTGTGAGTTTATAAAACTCTATAAAATATTAATTTTAAAGTTTTAAATGATATAATATTAATATAAAATTTAACAATAAGTTGCAAATATTTTATTGGACATAGAACTGTGACCACATGATACATGTTTAAATTAGCTTATTAATATCAGTATAGCCATTTCATTATGGTTGTAAAGTTAATGGAGTATGATAAGTAGAGTACTTTATGTTGTAGTTTTACAACAAATAAGTTGAACCATATATTTTATTTAAGTTGAACTATATATTTTATTTTATGATAAGTAGAGTACTTTATGTTGTAGTTTTACAACAAATAAGTTGAACCATATATTTTATTTTGCAAAAAAAACTATAATATTTATTCAATTCAGGCAAATCCAAGCATCCCCCCCGCGACCACCCCAGGGCATTTTCCTGTAGAGCATGTCTTGTGGGTTGGGCATTTGAACTCAAACCTTTGCCCGGGGTGGGGCATTTGAAATTAAGGATGTGGAGGTTTTAAGATCACAGATAACTTGATAATAATATAAAACAGAACAATACCAGTTTCAGAACAATTAAATATAAACCAGTCAAGTTGTTGTTAAGAAACGCATGGATTTGAACCATGCTGCAAACATTAAAAATAGATGCGCTAGAGCTTGATGACAGCAAAACACACTAGTCTGAGAGTATGATGCACAGTACTTGATATATTAACAGGAGAGCGTTTGCTAGAAACATCGAAGAAAGTATTCTCTTTATTTTCAGGTGATTGGATAACCTACTCGATAGTCCATCTGTCCCCAGGGTAGAGGTTTGCTACTGATTTTGTGCCCTGCTGTGGGGCATTTTCATGTGTTTTTTGTCCCCCCCCTTGGGAATTTGTTGCATATTTTTGAAAATTGTCAAAAGCCAGGGGGGGGGATGGGCACCCTTGGATTTGACTAGTACATTATAAGCTTATTTCTATTGTTTGTGGTCGTACTCTGAGTGTGGACAAGTTTACCTGACAGCAGCGGGAATTGAACCTACGACTTTTGGGATTCTAGTCCAATGCTCTACCAGCTGAGCTACAAGGTCAAGTTGGTTCGAGTTGGTATCACCAACATACAGTAAGTTAACACCAACACACATGCACAGAAAAGCTTAATTATTTCTGTTGTGTACTTATTAGATTCAAGAGCAAGGAATGTTTTTAGTGAAGATGATGACTTAGATATGGTAAAATATATTTGATGCTCAACCCATTCATTTGCATTTTGCCCCAGTGTGACCTACTGTACAGTACTTTATTATTTTAATCTGCCTAGTATAGCTCCAGAAATTTTACTTACTGAGAGAGGTGCTGGCAGTCAATCAATTAATCATACTAACTGGCATGAGTGTGTTTAGTTATTGAACTGTCTCTGCCAGTGTAGGTATAGGGATGCAATTACCTGGAAATAATCTAATACGCATGTTAGGAGAGTTTTGACATTTCAAGCAAAGGCCCTTCTTCTTGATTGACTACCATAGCTGGGGTTGCAAACTTTAGAGGAAGGGCTTTTGCTACAAATATTGAAATTCTCCTTAAAGTGGCTTATATTAATATGTCTGGTTAACCCATCATGCAGCAGTGTCGTAGTGTGCCCTACTCCATTATTTTACTATGCCTTAACAGTGTAAGATGATATTTGTTGTGTTGGTGTAATGTACTCAAGTGAATAAGATGCTGTGTGATGTTACTCTGAGTGTATATCCCCCCGGGCAGGCTTGAAAAATATGCCTGGCCACATTTGGGCTAGTATTCCAAAGGTCATAGGTTCGAATCCAACCGTGGCCAGGCATATTTTCCAAGCCTGCCCTGTGTGGATATACACTCAGAGTAACATCACACAGTGTAAGATGATTTTATTCATTGAGGGGAGAGATAAGGTTAATTAATATGCTAATATCTGGCATAATTATTTGAAGTAAATAAAAATTTATTCCATAACAAAATATACAGTACCGGTATTGCCAAAAGATGTACTGGTACCGGTGCTGGGAACGTGTAGCCTTCCTACAGCAGCTAGCCATGGCAAAAGTGTTGCCAATTTCCATAATAAACCTTTTTTGTCATGCAAAATTGTAATTAATTATTAAAACAGAAGTAAACAGAGGAAACTAAAATGAGATGTATTAAATAATTATTTCATTGCTTATAAATTATAAAGTGATCGATGGTGTTATAACATTATTATGATAATATATTGACTTGAAATGATAGCATATAGGAACAACTTCATGGTCCAATTTGTTGTGTTTTAAATTCCTCTTGGCATTTACAGCCATACAGTATCAGTTATTGCCAGACTAGTACACTCTAGGGCACCTGTGTTTTTCTTTTGGTGGTTTTCTGCGTATGTTACCAACTAATATAATTATGGATTAGCTTTGTGATTGTTATTAACAAATATAATATATATATTTCATCGTTAATAGTCCATAAATGATAGAAAAGTACAGTTTTGTAACACTAGGGCCTTCGCTCGAAACGTCGAGTTTCTGTTTATTAAGGTAGTAATATAACCACTCAGCACTGACAGCATTTTCACATTGGTACTACCAACACTGGTACAGACAGTTTTAGTTTTGTAACAGACTACTATAATTCATTTTTTGAAGAACGAAGATATGCCATCTACATCCAATCAATGTGTTGGTGTTATTTCAAGCAATGATGCATATTTTTCGGAAGTATGCAAAGCAAGTGCAGTAGTTCCAGTTGGATTGACCTTCATGGCTTTTGCTGTGCAAGATTTTGATGATGTTAAGGGGTTATTAAAGGTTACAGAAGATATATTAGTTGCTATTTAAATATGTATATACTGTCACTGAAATTACATACTGTATTAATAATATGCTACATCATGGAGATGAAATCACATTCAGAATACACATGCTACTGTACCAATTAAGTCTCTTTAAAAGATTATTTATGTTTTTGTTACTCTCTAGGAAGACAGTTTTGTCCTAGTGGAGCGTTCTCTACACAACTTTGGCAATTCACTCTGCTGGGTGTACAGATGTTCCTGTGACATAAATCGCTGCAATTATCTGCTGTCTCTAAATGTTTATTTACAAGGAACAGTAGAAGGTAGTATATTAATTCAAACATATTATAAATAAATGTCACTTTATAAATGTTTAAGTTAAACATCTTATTTATTGAAATATATTTTTTATGTATCACTTAACCTAAAATTATTTAAAATTAAAACACTTTTTTAATTATAACTGTACTTTTGATGTCTCAGAGTAACATGTCAACAACAACAAAAGTAAATATTAACCCTTTATTTTTGCCAATGCGCTCCCTTGTGTTAATTAAATATTATTTTACTTTTTCTAATGTCAGACAATTTTACTTGTCAAGGTGCCCTTTTACCCCCTTAAACAAAATAAATACACTTTCAAAGTTGAATTGATTTGCCAATAAGCTTATAATTATTAATGTGTGTTTGAAGTATATTCAACTAAATATTATTTCCAGTCTGCTGACCTAAATACTCAAAAGTATTTTCATTTTGTTTTATTTTAGAGTTGAATGGCAGGTCCAAGCCATGTAACCACTGCATTGTAGTGGAGAAGTTTATTGCTTCAGTAGAGTCAGTAGATGGCACATTACCAGAGAGTGTTGTAGGTATGATGTTGTAACCCAATGCAATCTAGTGTATAGTGTTATTTTTTGTGTGTGTTTTAATGTTATGTACTCAGATGAATATAATGGTTTTGGTGTTACAGTACTCTGAGTGTGCATCCAGCATGCATCCACACCGGGCACTCAGACAAGTTGAAAAGTTAGCCTGACCACGATGGGAATCGAGTTGCGGGTTTGATTACCACTTTTGTCAGGCTAACTAGTACCTTACCTGCCCAGTGTGGATATACACCCGGAGTATAACATCAAAACCACTACTGTAGTGTATTACATGTAGTACCTTACCTGCCCAGTGTGGATATACACCCGGAGTATAACATCAAAACCACTACTGTAGTG